ACCAGAGACTGGAAATAATTTTTGTTTTTAAAGAAACTACATTATTTTGCTAATAAAGAAGAGCAAAGTGGATTACTAGGAGGCTTTGGTAAATTTAAATTCACTAGAGGAGCTGGACAGCAAGGAAAGCTTAATTTCAGCTTGGTTAAACATAACAGAATTGCAATAGTGAAATCATTATGCTAATTTAATTAAAATGTAAAGGGAAAAACAAACATGGTAGCGAAAATAGTACCTACTCACATAAGCTAATGAGTTTCGACTTGAACATTCTTTTTTTTTTCCAGACTGGAACTAGAATTGAATTAGAGTTCTCATCTGTATCACATCAAATGGTTAACCTGCCTTTTTAAATTCCAGACACATTATAGAATTGCACATCTTAAAAGTTTTAGAAAAATAGAAAATGAAACTGATTTGTTTGTAAAATCTCAGAATGGGGAAAGATTGTTTAAGTTCAAAAAAGTAACAGTAACAGAAAAGTTTGGCAACTTTAATTTATAAAATAAACATTCCACTATGTAAGATTTAAGAAATCATTGAAATAAAAGGCAAAGTATAGCCCGTGAACTAGTTATAACAACAGTCTAATTTTCTTAAGAAATCTTTTATTTTTTGTGAATTATTTATTTATTTATTTATTTACTTATTTGGTTTTTGGAAACAGGGTTTCTCTGTGTAGCCCTGGTTGTCCTGGAACTTGCTCTGTGGACCAGCCTGGCTTCTAACTAATAGAGTTCTTCCTGCCTCTGCCTCCTGAGTGCTGGCATTAAAGGCATGTACCACCACCTCCTGGATAACTTAAGAAATCTTTTAAAAGGGATTTAAAAAATTATTTATCTTTTTATGCTTATAGATGTTTTACAGGCAAGCATTTGTATGCACTATGTGCATGCAATACTGGTGGAAACCAGAAGAAGGCGTCTGATCCCCTAGAACTAGCGCTCCAGATGGTTACAAGCCTTTATGTAGCTACTGGGAACTGAACCCAGGTCCTCTGCAAGAACAGCCAGTTCTCTTAACTGCTGGCCATCTCTCCATCTTCCCCCTCATCATAATGTCATAATGTTTCTGTCAGTGTTCACTGACCTCAAGAGAAATAGTTCTCCTATATATGTATGTTTGTGTTTGAAAATTCATGTATGTGTATTTGTGCTCTATAACATAAGGAAAACTATAACATAAAATGAAAAGTAGGGAATCTGAGACAATAGGAAAACTAGGTTGAATATATCAGGCTTCCTCTAAAGACCTCTGTGCACTACACGTTATTATAATATATATATAAATTTCTGTCAGGCTTTCCTATAATAAGTGTATTTTATTTTACCATAAGCGTATAGAAAATGATATAAAAGAACAGACCCTTAGGTAGTATTTTACTTACAGCCTTAAATTAATGCCATATTCTCAAGGGACTCATTTGTAATTCAAATAACATTAAAAAAAAAAGAATGGAGCCACTTTTATTTTCCTGATGCTTCGGCTGTGGCAAACATAATTGCCTGGGGGGATTTGCCTTCTGTCTTGGGACAGAATTTTATGAGTTTTGCATTATTTCCCACCAGAAACCAAAGGCAGCGCTGTCTCCAACGTAAGGAGAAGCAGCCCTGCAGGGGACACCTCAGTGTGTCCATCATGGAGGAAGTACGCTCTGCTGGGTTGCAGGCTGTTAATCACGAATGGTACTCTGGGTTACAAATGGACAGCAAGAATACAAGGCGAAGTTCGTGTAGATCCACACCAAGAGTAAATCCCATGCAGGAGTCCACACGGGAGGGAGGAGGCATGGACAGTGTTTCAAAACTGCCGTCAGCACCCAGTGAAGGAAAGGGATGACCGGGCAGCGGCTATGAGACACTGTCAGAGCTCCGAAGTGTGCTTCTGGCTTCTGGTGTTGAGTTTTGCGTTCCTTTCCTTGACTGGGGGCGGGGGGAGTGGTGTGACTTCTCGGTAGTGCCAGGTTGCTGGTGGCAGAGGGATGGGGACCAGAGCCCCTGCACACCGGAAACACTGCCCTAGGAGCTTGCTGCTCCCTTGTTGATTGGGGATGTCTCCACTGCAAACCGACACGGGTCAGGGCCAGAGGCCCACAAGCAACATGGGCCTGATGCAGCATTCCAGATGCAAGGGAGTTCTTCTGAGAATGCACACTTCGTCTTTTATGTTCTTTCAAATCCTGACTGCGTGTTTTAAAAACCAGGGCTGGAGGGATGGGTCCGTGGGTAAAGTGTGCTGGGAGTTTGGGTTCTCGGGGCCCACACACAGCCCAGAGGGAAGGGGAGAAACAGAATGGATTGGTACCATTTCAAAGTCAGTTTAGGTTCAGGAGCAGATAGATGATCAGCTGGACCCCGGCTGACAGCCCTCGAAACTGCTACCCGCCTCCCCAGTGTTGCTTCTCTAGCTACACCCAACCTCCCACCAAAAACTTAGATTAGAAGACTATCAGCAGTCAAGTGCAAATATGGCTGGGTTATGTGCCTGATAAGCTTTCAGATAAACAGGTTATAAATCGTGGAGATGAATCCACACGCAGTTTCTCTGGAGGAAAGGTAAATGTAAGTGGCATAAGGGAATCTATGATCTAGGTGATGTGCGAGATTGTATCCTCCTGATTACTCAGCTAAGGAGGGAAGAAGGAAGGGGTGGTATTAGGGTTCAACTCTGCTCAGTCAGCAAGCCTGCCCTGCTTGACTGATGCCCAACTCTGAAAAGTTGCAAAGTAAACCACCTTGCCTTCCCTAACCCGGGGTTCCAGTACTCTTAGAGGGCCTTTGTTTCTCACAGTGATATGTAGGAATCTGTAATTCCTGCTCCCCCTATGGGGGATGGGAGGCTGAGTCAGGAGAATCCCTGGACATCAGTGGGCCAGCTAAACTGACCTGCACAGCAGTGGACAAGGAGGGAGCCTTACACAAGGAGGAAGGCCAAGAGTGACACTTGAGGCTGTCTTCTGACCTCCATGGTGGAGCCTCTGGGGAACTGGGCCAACCTGGAAAACAGGGACTGGCCCCTTTAAGAGAGGCTGCTCCTTGCTCCGGGGTTCTATACCATCGCCCAAAGATTGTTGTAAAGTCTAGAGATTTCGAACAGCCCAAGGTGTGTGTGTGTGTGTCTGTGTGTGTGTGTCTGTGTGTGTGCATGGGGGGTGATGGAAAGGGAGGGTCCTGGGAGCCTATAAAAGTCCTACCTAGAGCCTTTTGGTGGGCTCCCACTTCTGTGGTCCCTCCAATCCCTGTGATGGAAGCTGTTTGTCCTCTCCCTCCCTCCCTCCCTCGCTCTTGCTCTCTTGCTCTGACTGTTGTTTCTTCAATTGGGTGTTTGCATCCCTGCTATCTCTGTCATTTTTGATCACCACCTCTTATCCAAACCCCCCCTAATGTCCATACATGCACTGGGTGGCATGTGTGAACGGACACTCACACTTACATAAATGAACATGCATACATACATACTACACACATATCACACACACAACACCATACACACAACTTGCATAAATACACTTCATAACGGTTGTTAAGTGTACGGCTCAGCAGTGTTAAGAGCATTTGCATCATCATGCACCCTTCACCCTGTCCACCCACTGAACCCTTTTCATCTTAGGAGTTAGACTCTCTGTACTCACATGAAACTTCAACTTTCAGTTCTTCATGCCCTACCCCACCCCTGTAATCATGATCCTATTTCTGTTAACTGGACATTTGGCTACTCGAGACACTCCATCTCCCTCCCACCCAAGACAGCATATCTCTGTGTAGCCATGGCTGTCCTGGAACTCACTGTAGATCAGGATAGCCTCAGACTCGGAGATCCACCTGCCTCTGCCTCCCAAGAGTTGAGACTAAAGGTGTGAGCCACCATGCCTGGTTTCCATTTTTCATTTCTGATGACTGGACTATGTCCTCTGGTATAACATCCTTAGGTCCATCCATGTAACCACATGCGTCTGAATTTCTTTCTTGAAGGCTGAATAATATTACGTTGTGTGAATACAGCACATTTCCTTCCTTCCTTCCTTTCTTTCTTTCTTCAAGATAGGGTTTTTCTGTGAATCAGTCCTGGCTGTCCTGGAACACACTCTGTAGACCAGGCTGGCCTTGAACTCACAGACATCACGATACCTCTGCTTCCTGAGTACTGGACTTAAAGGAGTTCGCCACCACCGCCTGGCTAGCACATTTTCTTTATCTACTTAGACATAGTTACTGGGCTGCCCACATTCCTGTTCTATACCCCTAGCCTCTAGCCTCCAGCATAGCCTTTGATGCTCTCTGTACCATGTCTTCTTGAGCTCTCTCCCCTCTTACAAGCTCTGATGGCTGTGTCTAGTGAGCTGGGCTCAAGTTGACTGTCTGCCATCACCAGGATTCTCTCTGTTTTTCTTAAGCCCTGGAGTATTTGGAGACTTAAAGGCCCAAAGACAATTCCAATCAACAGAGAATGGGAACCAGAGAAAAAGAAATCAAAGCTCAGCCTGATAACTTTGAGATAACCACCCCAAGAGGCCATTTATGAGCTTCTTGGGTGCCCTCATGGCATTGTATGAGTGTGAGCCTATGCCTTCAGCAATGCTCTGGGTATTACATGTTTTCTTCTCCTGTCTGTCTTAGTCTGTTCTATTGCTGTGAAGAGACACCACGGCCATGGCAACTCCTATAAAAGAAAACTTTTAACTGGGGGCTGGCTTACAGTTTGGTCCATTATCATCATGGTGGGTTACACGGCAGCATGCAGGCAGACATAGTCTGGAGAAGTAGCTGAGAGTTCTACATCCTGATGTGTAGTAAGCGGGGGTGGGGTGAGGGTTGGGGTTTGGCTTTTGAAACCTCCAAGCCCACCACCCCAGTGACACATCCCCTCTAACAAGACCACACCTCCTAACTTTTCCCAGCACTCCACCAACTGTGAACTAGGGCATTCAAATATATGAGCGTATAGGGGCTATGACCACCGGAACTCTTACAAAGGAGAACATTTAGGTGGGGCTGGCTTACAGTTCAGAGGTTCAGTTCATTGTCATCATGGTGGGACATAGTGGCACATGGGCAGACACGGTGTTGGAGAAGGAGCTGAGAGTTCTACATCTTGATCCGCAGGCAGCAGAAGCCACTGTGTCACACTGGTCAGACTTGAGCTTATAAGACCTCAAAGCTGGCCTCCACTGTGACACTCCAACAAAGCCACACCCACTCCAAGGCCACACCTCCTAATAGTGCCATTGGCTATGGGCCAAACATTCACACACAAGAGTCCTCTCAAACTGTCTTACTGTTTTAATTTCATGGTACCTGCTTCCTCGGATCACCTCCCAAAACAAACCACCTGTATCCACGACCCATGAAACTCTGCTCTAGGAGTTGCGGCTTATTTTGGAATAGCTACTAGGCTATTCTGAGACGATACCCAGGCAGGATCAGACTTAAAGCAAACCAATCAGTCAGTCAATCAATCAGTCAGACAAACAAAGAAACAAACAGCAAAACCAACACGACTTTCCATTTCTGCTTTTCCAATCAAAAATGGAAAATCTCAGTAGGATTACGATTGTTCTGTCTGGATTGGCTATGCACAGCCCTTTCTGAGTTACCATTTGTAGCCATTAATCTTCATTGTCAACTCAACAATTTGAAGCTACCTAGGAGATGGGTGAGAATCCAAAAGTGTCTATGAGGACATCGCTGGGGAGGACTCTCTGAGGGGGCGGATGTACCTTGAGTGTGTGATTAGCACCAATCTGTCTATGGACTAGGGACCTACCAGGATCAAAGGGAGAACAAAGAGAAAGTCAGCAAAATGTTGGCATCCCGTCTGTTTCCTGGCAGATCCCAAGGAGTCACCGCTATGTGCTGTTAGCTGTTCATGCTCCCAGGAGCTCAGTGCCTTGCCTTGTGCTGCTATGGAGACAGGTAGGTGCAGGCTTGGAATAAAGTGTGGGACTTTCTAAGGGGGCATTCGGTTGGCTGGGCAGTTGGCTGTGAGATCCACAGGGTGCTGACAAGGCAAGGGGGAAGGACTCAGTCACTTTGTCCTGGGAAGACAAGCCTAAGGAGAAATGCGGTGAGAAGCCGCTACATGCCATCTGGAGTGTGGGGATATCCCTGAAACTGGAAATGGCGCCCTGACAGGGCTCAAGGAAGAGGCTAATCAGAGTTTCTCTAGTTTGATGGACACCATTAGGAGACATGGTCGGCTTGTCGGGGTGTGCTTCCCTGGAGGAAGTAGGGGTGGCCTGAGGAGGGAGCTGTTAGGACCCCATTCCTTCAACCTCCGAGACTCCAGGCGTCACAGAACACCCTAATTGGAAAGTAAAGGGAGCGAAAGAGGCTGTTCTATTTAAGTTTAGGTCAGGCTTGCAGTTTGTGAGCCAGGGGAGGGGAGTGGGGAAGGCTTAAATGAAATGAGATTAAAGTTTGATTTAGATTGGACTGGACTTTGTAATAACGGCAAGTCAAACTGCTTGTTAACACCCGAAGGTGACAGGAAAAGCGATAAAATGTGCCCTAGATTCTTCCAAAAGAAAAGGGAGGCCACATAGAATAATTTAAAAAGGCAGCTGTGTGAAAAGTGCGCTTTCATGATTTCCCTTCACTACATAGTCCAGTTAGTACAAAAATTCAGCTTGTATAAATGTTGCTCAGTACAGCAGTGCTTGGGTGGGGGAGGGAGCCCGCTTTCCCATACTCCCGACTCGCAAGAGAGGAAGCAAGCGACCAAGCAAGCGAGCACAGCCAGCAGCACCAGCATCGTAATTCTCAGTCTGCCCCAAGCCTTGTGAACTAGAGGCCACTGAAGACCTGGTTTGTCTCAGGCTTCGCAGGTGCGCCTCTTTCAGGCGATCTGGAAGGGCCACAGCGAAGTCCTGCGTTCATGTTCACGTTTACTTCTGAGGGAAGCTGTCAATTACAAAGCAGAAATAAGCTTGCTTTGAGACAAGAGCCGCCTGTTTTCCCAACAACCCTTTCAGGGGCAAGTGGCTGGTGATCTATGCCTTTAACCCTAGCCCTCAGGCAGAGGCAGGGGGATGTCTTGTGAGTTTCAAGCCAGTCAGGGCTACATAGCGAGACACTGTCTCAAACAAAAAGAAACCGCCTCCCCACCCCCACTCCCTACCCCATCCCAACGCGCACACAACCACACACACCAAACCCTTTCAGCCCTTTCAGAAACCACTTTGGTTTCCCTTTCATTCCTTCCAAGTTCTCCCGCTGGATCTCAGTTCTTCCTGCTGCACACAATTAGAGTGGGCCACAGCAGATCCCACTCGTGGGAGTCTGGACCCTAGGTCGGCGACCTCAGGCTACCTCTCTTTTCCCTGGGGTCTGAGGCTGGATGCCCCGGGTCGCTGTGGTCCCATGAGCTGCAGGCCCGCGTCTGGCCGGCAGAGGGCGCTCAGCTCTCCCCGGCGGGGCTCCGGCCGGCCGAGAGGAGGCGCCGGGGCTGGTGAGCATCTCCGGGCGGCCGGGAGGGGGTGCGCGCCTTGGGCCGCTGCAGCCGGGCTGCTGTCACCGCGGACCGCACCTCGCTGGCTGGTGGGCGGGAGAGTGTCTTTGTCCGGCGAGGCGTCCTCAGCTCCGGCCATCCCTGCGATCGGAGTCGGGCGGTCTGGGCGGTGCCCAGGGGCGAAGTGCGCGGGCGGAGGGCTAGCTGCGGCCACGGCCCCACGTACCTCGGTGCTCCAAGCTCGCCACCTGCGCCACCTCTGCCCGCGCTCTGTCAAGTTGCAGAAGACCGGGTGGGTCAGGAGTCTGGACGCGTGGGCGCGTTGCAAACTCCAGCTGCGAAGGAGCTGCGTGCGGAGGTAGCCCGGCCCGGGATGCTTCCTGAGGCTGCCCCGGCCTCTCTGCATATCTTTCTTGGCTCCTCCAGACCCAGGTGAGCGACTCCTGTCCGCGCGTCCCGATCCGGCTGGAGACAGGTGCTGAGGCGGGGCGGAGGCGGCGCCTTTTGCTGGCTTCTCTGGCACCAGAGCACCGGCTCCCCGCTGCCCACATCCTCTGCTCCTCCGGAGAGAGGCTGCAGCCCACTCACACCTTCCGGGGATGCCAGGTTGAGCACGGTGTTTCAGAGGCAACAGCGGGTTAGCCGAAGCGAGCTCCCTCCCCCCTCCACCCCCGGCTCGTGATAATTCGGTCCGTGTCTTCGTCTTAATTTAGCACCGACGTGTTATTTCCTTGGAGCTCTAGAATGGTAAGGCTTGCTACATCCATTTTTTTTTCAACCCCCTTCATTCTGAGGCTTTGCAGGGAAGGACTACAGGCTTGCAAGTGATGTTACTACCGTTCTATTTTAAATACAAACACCCAGAGAAGTACGCTTGGCCGCCTGCCAGAGGCGCCTGCACTCTTTGTTATGTAAGTGCTTAACACAAATATTTGCTGGTTGGTAAAGTTAAGAGCGGTTACCAGAGAATGTAGGAGCGCAGGAAGTCAGAGCCATGATTTCTGTCTTAGCTCAAAACTTTCCTTCAGGATAAGCATGTGATGGCTTCGATATCATTTAAAGGCGACACGAGGTCCTTAAAAAAAAAAAAACCATAAGGTAGATTTTCACGGGTAAAACACGAACAGGTTTTTATGAAGTCTGATATAAAAACCAGTGGGACATCTCTGACTAACAATGGGAAATGAATTAAAGAAATAGATTCCCCCACACACAGCCTTTTTGGCTTTTAAACTATTGAGTAATTTTATTTTGCTGTCACGTGATATTGGCTAATTGTGAGTTTATAGTTATTAAAGATCTCCTCATACATAGTTATTTTTTCGAGTAAAAAGATGAAAGTGGAAATATAGGATACACGAATGTCTAGGCATTTCATGTTTTCCACCCCCTTGTATTCCGTTCTTACTGATTCAGGGTGATGGCGTTTGTTATGTTGCTGGCTTTCTGGTAATTGTCATGCGGACAGAGTCAGGAGTGAGACTGTTGGTGGGCATCACTTCATTTAATATCCTTGCAGCCAAAGGTGTGGCTCCGCGGGTTTGAAGTAACTCAGCCCTTGCGGGTGGAATATGGGGAGAGAAACTTGTGTTGGACCAGAGAGAAGCTAATGGATTTCAGCCTGTGTCTATTTCCATCTAAGTAATTTTCTTGCTTATTTTTTCCTGCAAAGAAAAGCTGATGTGTTTGTTCCAGGGACCCTTAGTTACACAGAGGACACCCATGGGAGGCTTAGTGGGGTTCAGTGCATTGTGCAGAAGGAGCCATGGAAGTTCAGTAGTCCCGTGGGAGAACTCCTTTTTGTTTGCATGATTAAAAAAAAATCAAGTTTCACTAAGGGTTGTTTTTTCCCACTGAATCGACATTTTCTTATACTATAGTAGAGTGTGAACTAGTCAACCAAGTGCAAAAAGCCTTTTTGGTATTTTTAAGGGCAGAGGGGAAGCTGTATCTTTCTAAGGTCCACATTTCCACAACTTGGGGCGGGCTCACCGAGGCTTCATGGGAGCTTATGTAAGAGCTACTATGGGGACTTTTCGGTACTCGGCTAAACTCCCTGCTTTGGCTATTACATAATTGGCATGGAACTAGGCTGTCAGAACTGAAATCGCGGGGGAGGATGTATAAAAAAATCTAGGCTCATGTGTGTGTGCACGCACACACACACAGACATGCGCGCACACACACAAATACTTTTTTTAAATAATGAATTGCCGCTTTCCAAATGAGAGGGAACAGCTGGGATTGTGGTTTGTGAATTGGAGATAAGAACAGTGTTGGGAGGGATGCTGGAATAGATAACTGTTCTGTTTAGCATTTTCTGGAGACACAAATGCTGGCTAGAAACCACACCGTAGCTCTTTACACCTGCTGGCAGAAACCCAGAGGCTGGGAAGCTGGTGAATCTTTTTTAAATAGGGATAATTCTCTTGACATCCTCTTAGGCCCAGTTATAGAAACCCAAGTCTCTATGACCCTTGAAACTGTTCTATTTGGTAAGTTATACTTAAAATGTTACCTTGTAAAATAGCCTTTTAAAAATATTTATTTTATGGGTGTGAGCTTTTGCCTGCATGTGTCTGCATACCATGTTTATGCAGTGCCCATGGGGGCCAGAGGAGGCATCATATCCCCTGGAACTGGAGTGAAAAATGGTTGTGAGCTGCTATGTGAGTGCTGGCAATCAAACCCAGGTCCTCTAGAAGAGCAGCCAGTGCTTTTAACTGTTGAGTTATCGTCCCAGTCTCCTGAAACCACATGGAGCTACTGACACTGTAAGGGTTCCTGGAGACCAGCCCTATGTCATGTAGTCTCTCGGGACTTCTTTTTGGATCTGAGTGTGATCTGGAGAGAATGCAGCACTGGGGAAATGTATGTGTGGGAAGTAGGCTGCATCTAGTCCACATCTAGGAGGCAGGTTGCCAAGGAAGAAGGAAGAAAAAAACAGTCACGGAAAGATACTCATTAAAAAATGTTAATGGGAACAGAGAGCACTAGCTTTGTTGGGGGACCTTCCTGTACAAACTCCTTAGCATCTCTCTCAAGTAAGAATTTTAAATAGTATACAAGCAAACCCAGGCTTGGGAAATGACTCACAAGAAACAAAGTAGGTTTGGAAGGACCAGATGAGTCATCAGACTGATTGGCAGTTTTGTCAGCAGGTGAAAACCTTTAAACAATTCCTGAGAGGGAGTCTCTTACAAAGAGCTGAGGAGGGTCTCCTTTTGCTGAACCAAGTTTTGCTTTATACTGGAACTTGAATGTCTTCAGATCTTCCCACCTTGACCCCTTCCCACCAGCATGGGTCTTATGCATGCACTCACCATCCATCATCCATCATCAGTCACTGTTCATCTGTTATCCATCCATCGTCTGTCATCCACAATTCAGCATCCATCCATCCTCATCATTATCCATCATCACTCACCTGTCATTCATCATCCACAATTCAGCATCCATCCATCATTGTTATCACCCATCACCCGTCATCCATTATTCACTCACATGTCTTTCATCATCATCCACAATTCTTCTTCATCATCATCATCATCACCCATCACTGGTCATATGTCATCCATGATCCACAATTCATCATCCATCTATCCATCATCATCATTATCCATCACCAGTCACCTGTCATCCATCATCATCATCATTTATCACTGGTCAGATGTCATTCATCATTCACAATTCATCATCCATCACTCATCATTATCACCCATCATCACCTGTCATCCTGTTATCCATGCTCTACAATTCATCATCCATAATTCATTACCCATCCATTGTCCTTCACCCATCACCCATCCATTCACAAAGACCTTTACCAAACCCACAAAACTCCCTTATGAACCCTCTCCTCAATTGTGATTTGTTTTCTGGCCTGGAAGATCTTCACTTTCAGCACTTAGGCGAAGTTACAAGACCCCTTCTCAAAACAACGCCTCCCCCAATGACAGACTTCAATGGTGGTCTTTATGATATGGTGGATTTTATGCTGTGTACATTAGGTGGCATTAAAATTATTCTGTAAAAAATTATTTCCATCACTGAGTATGCTAGCTCTGCTAGTTTTCTGTTGCTATAGCAAACTACCGGAGTCTGGATACTTACAGGAGTGCCCAACCTATGGTTTGTAGCTGCCTGCATGTGACCAGATCTAACTATGAATATGGCTCAACATTGTAAACTTACTTAAAATGCCGAGACTTTTTTTTTGTAACTTGATTGTGTTGTTCTGAAGCATAAACTTTACAGGTGACATTGTGTCCCAAAGTCAAAAGGTTGGACACTCCTGAAACAAAAGAATTGATTAAGTTTTATAACATTTATTTCTTTTGTGTGTGTGTGTAACAACAATAATTAAAAAGAAGTTATGAATTTGAGGAGTGGGAGGGGCATGAGACAATGGAAGAGCTGGAGGGGAGAAGGTGAGGTAGAAATGATATAAATGCAGTACTCATGTATGAAATTCTCAGAAAAAAGTGAAAATAGGAAAAACTTTCTTTATTCATCTATTTACATAAAACAAAACTTATAAGACACTCATACAGATGAGACTACCTGTAGCCACAGAGTGGAGCATGTATTCACTGGTTTTGTGTGTCAACTTGACGCAAGCTAGAGTCATCAGAGAGGAAGGAGCCTCAGTTGAGTAAATGCCTCCATGAGATCCAGCTGTAAGGCATTTTCTCATCAATGTGGGACGGTCCAGCCTATGATGGGTGGTGTCATCCCTGACCTGGTGGTCCTGGATTCTATAAGAAAGCAGACTGAGCAAGCCATGAGGGGCAAGCCAGTAAGCAGCTTCCCCCCATAGCCTCTGCATCAGCTCCTGCTTCCAGATTCCTGCCCAGTTTGAGTTCCTGTGCTGACTTACTTCAGTGATGAACAGTGCTGTGGAAGTGTAAGCAAAATAAGCCTTTTCCTCCCCAGCTTGCTTTTTTCGTTATTGTGTCTTCACAGCAATAAAACTCCAAGACAGAATGTAAGAATCAAGCTTAGGGTTGACCCCTGGAAATTCCTTCAGTGTTTTGTTTTATGTGTGTAGACACCTGTTTTTGGTTGTTTACCATTGTGCAAAGTCCATCTCCTTTTCTATATGAGGCCCAGGGTGTTACACCACCTTCCATGTTTTCCTGCTGTTGGTTATGGTCTATAGATGTCACTCTGGCCACAGTGGTAATTCCCAATGCCCCAGGTAATTCTTCTGTATGAGGTTGACCAGTTGCTTGTTAGGCAGCCTGTGGTCCTCCACAGAATGCCCATATTTAGCCTGGCTTTCATCCATGCAAATATAATCTTCACAGACCAGCCAGGACATCTTAACTTTTTCTGTACTCTTACATGCATGTTTTCATGTGTGAGTTTATATATGTGCCAGAGATCAGCCTGAGGTGTTATTCTGCAGGAGCTGTCCGTCTTTCATTTTGAGACAGGGTCTCTTACAGGGACCCAGCACAAGCCAATTAAGCTAGGGCTTTACCTGTCTTTGTTTCCCTAGCTTATGGGTCACAGTTCCACCCAGCTCTTTATGTGGGTGATAGGGATTTAATTTAGGTCATCTTGCTCTGTGTGGCAAGTCCTACAACAACTGAGCTATCTTCTGTGTTCCTGTTTCTTTATTAGCAAACAATCATTTTTGGTCTTCTCTTTGCCATGGGTTGTGTAATTCCAAATGGGTCAGAGCTGTTTCATTTCCCATAGCTCTATGTGGTTACCAATAACAATGACACCTGCTTTTCTCT